TGTAAGTTAGTTTCTAAAGTTTTTTAATTTTATATCTTATTTTACTATAATGTGTTACTCTATGTTAGTACCAAGCCTATAAGTTAATTTCTAAAGTTTTTTAATTTTATATCTTATTTTACTATAATGTGTTACTCTATGTTTGTACCAAGCCTGTAAGTTAGTTTCTAAAGTTTTTTAATTTTATATCTTATTTTACTATAATGTGTTACTCTATGTTTGTACCAAGCCTGTAAGTTAGTTTCTAAAGTTTCTTAATTTTATATCTTATTTTACTATAATGTGTTACTCTATGTTTGTACCCAGCCTGTAAGTTAGTTTCTAAAGTATTATAATTTTATATCTTATTTTACTATAATGTGTTACTCTATGTTTGTACCAAGCCTGTAAGTTAGTTTCTAAAGTTATATTATTTCATTTCTTACTTTACTTTAATGCATACATTTTTCGCAAAAATCTTTTGTCGATTTACGTTTTATTTAATACTTTGAAACACTTAAATTTGTAGAAATATAAAATTACGCTAGTATCGAAAAAGTTCATTTTGTCTTTTGAAGCGTTAATTTATTAGCACTTGTACAATGAATTATTAAACATTATTTGCCACCCTGACGACTCTTTTTTCGGTGTTAACAACGCTGAATTAACTTATATTGCACACTATCATATTAAAAATTGTATTATTTTCATTTTTAAAACAAACGTTATTATCATTCCGGCGTTTCCATTAATCAATTTCGTGTCGGTGAATAGTGAAGTATTGAAATCAAATTTTTTTGTCCCCTTTCCAATTAGCTAAAGAACTCAAATCTCCACTGAAAATCCGTACGGGATGACAATGTGAATTTCCAATCGTTTTCTGTCCACAAAATATTACATTTTTCTGGGGTTTTCTTAATTTTTAATTCTTTAATTAATTGCTTTAAAAAAAGCTTGTTCACTTCTTTATTTTTTAATATTTTTCGTTACTGTAAGGATCGTTTATTTTAATTCACCTTTCATAATGCTATAATAGAATAATTCTTCATATATTGAGGGAAAAAGTAAAAGAATGGAACAAGAGAATCTAAGAAATGAATCAGTGAACAGGCGTATTAATGAATAAAATTTATAAACACATAATTTGCATACTTCCAAATGACAAGAAATTTATCTTTATATCAAGTGGTATTAAGTTATTTTACCTTTATATTTTCGATTTACTAAATTTGATTTACAAAAACTGTGACCACCACTAAATGAGGGCAATTTTGTGGATAAAAAAAAAGCACAATTGAGTTCCTTAGCTATAAATTATGTATAATGAATAGTTAGGTTTAGCATCTATGAATATTGCATTCAACGACCCCAATTTTTATTATTATTTCATTGGCAAAAAGTTTCACACCAAAAAATGTAGATTTAATTTAGAAATATAAAAATAACCGTCTAATTTCATTTTGCTACGAAATTTATCATCCTAATTTATTTAACGAATGCACTAGGTAGAGTTAAAAGGCATGCAAATGAACTTAATGTATCATTTGTAATAGTTTTCTAGTTCATGAATACTAACAATGTTTTTTTTTCTCATAAGACGTTTATTTATGTGCAAGTATGCATGTAAGATATTGATATGTAGATCTTTTGACAGTTTTACACAGTTTCAATATTTGTTTAATCATATATTTCATAAATTTATTTTTTCAACAGTTATTATACTAAATTTAATTTTAAATGAAATGCCTTTTAGATTTAATCATTCATACAAAATACAGAATTATTTAATTTTAAATTAAAAATTTCTTCGTATTTGGTGGAAATTTTAATCCAAAAGAATTCGGAATTGGAGTTAGCACGATGAACAGTAGAATCTTAATGCCAATGTGGAAATGTATGTGTTACTCAATATAGAATTGTATGTTTCTTGTTTCACTCAAAAATTCCCAAAAATATAATTCAACTTCACATTTTCATATTATTTACCCCTTGACGCAGACGGGACACCGGTGTCTCGTGTATATACATAGATTTTACTGATATTCTAATTACAAGTAAACATATATTTTGATTTTTTTTTACTTTAAAAAAAGTTATATTTGTGAACAATTATATTTGTATTAAAATATAAAATTAAAAAAAAAGCAGTTTGGAACTTTTTTCCATTCATATTTGAAAATTCACCAACAATTGATTTTGTACAGTAAATAAATTTCAATGATGAATAACTGTTTCTTTCAGATTTAAATAACTGCAAATAAATTAACATTTAGAAAATTATTGTGGATCATGTTTGGAAGATTTTAGCTCAGAATAAGACACCGATATTTAATGCTGCTTACATAACCATAGATTAAATATAATTTTTCAATGATCTGGTTTAATACAAAATAATGAAAGAAGTATGAAAAGCATGTTTATTGAAAATTCCCCGTAATAGGGCTATTAAAATCATTAAAACAAGTCATTGGTAAAACGATAAATATCAGCAAACGATAAAAATCAGTGTTCTTAAACTTAAATTATTTTTACAGGGCCAATTCAATCTCAATGCTTGGATTTAAAGGAACTGAGTGGCAACATCACCGAAACTTATCCGGGTCCCAGAAACTACAGATATAACAAATGTTGGAATATTTTAAATCCTGATAATAACTTGCTGGAAATTGAACTGAAACACCTGGATTTTGAAAGAAAGGTATTTTCTGGTATTTATAACTTTCGTATTAACGCATTAAAAATAACAGGAAATTGGACAAAAATGCAAAGTATTATAATCAATAAATAAAAATTTTTTCGAAGAAGATATAAAAATGCTAAATGTAAACATATAAATAATGCAGCAAAAATATTTTTTAAGTTAACATTTGTTCTCCACCATTCACAAATAGAATAAATCTTGTGTTGAATGCGGAATTAGGTAAAGAGTAGAAAATATAGAATTAAGTTAAGTCAAGATAAATAGTTTGCCACTACAAAGGAGAAAAGTTAAATATTTTTCAATTCACTATGTCTGATTTTCAAGAAAAAACTTGATGTTTCTCTACTTCAATAAATTGAAATTTCATTCTTCTTTTATCATAGCAACGTCACTTTTTCTTCTTGTAATACTTTATTGATTTCTATGCTCTATGGCAGGGATGGGCAAACTTTTTCGGTTGAGGGCCAAAAATCGAAAGAAAAAAAGTTGGGTGGGCTAAGTAAAAACTTCTAAAATTGGAAGAAAAAAAACGATATACAAGTTTTAATTTAAATATTAAATATGATGAATGAAATTACGATTTCATTTTTAAAAGTTCCTTATACTGAGGTTCCAAGTGATGTACTTATTTTAAGGAAACAGGCTAAATGTTTGTCCGTTAGTCTACTTCTGAAATGATTTTTTCTAAGGTTCATAGTTGAAAACACTTGTTCACATTTATAAGATGAAGGAAACATAGCACTGATTTTCTGAGCAAGAGATATTAAATTTGAGAAACTAGCTTTTGGTAATGATTTGTAAAACTCAAACTTTGGCATGATTTGCAAAACTCAAACTGCTTCAGATAGCGCCAATCTACGGCTATTCTACAGGATGTTCCAAAATTATCTTTACAACTTCAAAAATTCATAACTTCGAACATAAACAAGATATTTATATTCTGTCTTTTGCATGTATTACTGCAACTAATAAAGTTTTTTTCTCAATAGGCTGAAAAGTTTTAAGTGAGGATATGGACACCACAACAGAAAGCTCAAAGCGTCTCATGACCGTATTCGCTCCACATTTTCTGGACTTGTGCTGGGTCGTCCGGCTCTACTTTTATGCAATACTGATCCGGTGCTCATGAAGCTTGTGTGCCATGCACGGATGGAGGGTCTGGATGGTGGGTCTCTTTGGAAATTTGCCCTGAAGTTCCGTTGAACCTGTGTATCTGATTTCGTCTCTATGAACCATGAGACGAATTGAGCTTTCTGTTGTGGTGTCCACATCCTCACTTATAACTTTTCAGCCTATTGAAAAAAAACTTCATTAGTTGCAGTCATACATGCAAAACACAGAATAAAAATATCCTAATTATGTTCGAAGTTATGAATTTTTGAAGTTGTAAAGATAATTTTGGAACACCCTGTATAAAGAATTTCTGCATTCAAAATTTTACCAATTCACCAATTTTACCAAAAATAGAGAAAGTAAAAACGTCACCAGTACCAGTACTTTGTTAAAAAAGAAAGAACAAAAATAGCTTTAAGCAAGGTAGACAAGAAAAAGGATGTATATTGTTTATATTCGACATGGATTAGCAAGTTAAAATTTTATCCACGGGCCGGATAAAATCTTCCGGCGGGCCACGGTAGGCCCGCGGGCCGTAGTTTGCCCATCCCTGCTCTATGGTAACTGATTATAAATAGTTCTATTTAGAATGAAAACTGGGATTACAATCTGTTAAAACAGTTTGCTTAATACCCGAACTTTTAATTCAACAATTTTCTTTGAAAGAAATGGAATTGCCCGAAAATGTGTGTTTAAGCGAAAACTTTGTGTTTCATAACGGTACAAATGTGAAACTTTTCATAACTGCTACAACCAGAAATCTTCAACTTAAATTTAGCCACTATCTTACCAATTTGAGTTTTTAGAATTTAACGGAAGCTCTGTATCTGATGCCAATGCAGCAATAGTAGTACTTCATTTGCGTCACTTTAGTGCTACACAGTGGACTATTGGCGACGGCACAGGAAACATTCTCGGATCATCCGAAGATGTGTCATCACAACTTTAATCCCCATTAGTAGCTTGACAATCTGCGCGTGAAGCCAATCACTTTATGGCAGAACAGTAACAAATACCGATACCGCAAAACTCAGGTACCTAGGCAGGCTAATTTAAATGGTCAATCAACCGACCACTTCGGTGGTCTATTGGGAACCGTGTTTTACAATCAGTGCAGTGTATGAATGATACCAATTCATGTTATAATTGTTTTCTTCCTGTAAAAATTTTAAAAAATATTGTAACTTAACAATCATAAAACTAAAAAGAGAATCGCAACAAAATGAAGTAAAGATTTAAAAGACTATTTCCTTCAATTAGGCAAAAGGAATAAAAAATTTAATGTTATCAGACCAAAAATAAAAAATGCAATTAATTCCTTTTTATCACCGCTAAAAAAACCACCTCACTTCTCTCGAAGATGATGAACCCTGCGTCAATCAACAATCAATTCATCACTTTTTTCATATATTTTTATCACTACAAAAAAATATATCATCAAACTTTCTTGCGATTTTTGCATTAGGTCTGGCAAGGTACAAAACTGTTATCTCCTTGCTTAGTCAGTATTTTTATTATTTATTTAGTTATTTATTCATGTATTTATTCATTCATCTATTTATTTAGTCTTGTAGTTACGTTTACCTGACCATCACAGCCAACAGGACTGGAGAAAGAGTGAAGTGGTGTGGCAACAACGATGAAAGGAAGCCAATAGCTGTCCACTCAAATGTCACTGTTCATTTCTATGTTGATACATTCGAGCTTACTCCATTGAGTCGAGAACATTTTGAAATAATCTACAACATCGGTAAGCATCAATAATTATTTTTTTTAAGTCTCTTTCCTTTTTTATATGTTTCAGCAAAGGTAACAAAACAACGTCCACCATCCTCGCTTAAGAACAGATAAAAAAAAGTGAGAAATTGATAGCTAAATTATTTCGTTTCAAGTATTACTTATATTGATATTCTCATGTAATGGTCAGCGTTTAGGTTTTTTCTAAAGAAGATTTGCCTCAGTGTTAGCAAATATATATATATATATA